TAAAAAAAATTTTTTTTTTTTAACGTTTATTTATTTTTGGGACAGAGAGAGACAGAGCATGAATGGGGGAGGGGCAGAGAGAGAGGGAGACACAGAATCGGAAACAGGCTCCAGGCTCTGAGCCATCAGCCCAGAGCCCGACGCGGGGCTCGAACTCACGGACCGCGAGATCGTGACCTGGCTGAAGTCGGATGCTTAACCGACTGCGCCATCCAGGCGCCCCAATAAAGTAAGCTTTTAATCCGAGAGAAACTCTAGTGCTAGCTGCTGTAAGAACAGTTCTCAGCTTATGTCGAGAAATTGTTCGTCACTCAAAATAAGTAACGTACCTATGATTTCATCAACTTGAAATATTCTAGCTTTGAAGAAAACATAGTCTAGCTTTGGCACATTTTATAAAGTAGAGAATAAAACCTTTGATGATGAAACACTCTATTCCCTATTATTTACACTTTAGACAGTAATAAAACACATTATTTTCAAATATTTTCGTTATTTTGGGGCTACCGTTTGATGTGAATTATTGCTAGATGTTGGAGAGAGTTGTCCACTCCTGAAATCTCTGTTTTTTAGCCTTTTGGGCTCAGCTATTCCCTCAATACCCCAAATAAACTGCTTTGTGCCACTCCTTTTCCTCACAGTGCAGAAATTCCTCTCTCTTCCAGGATTTTGGAGGATACCCTGAAGGCTTCTGTTCCCATTTGTCACCATTCTGTCTGGAATTACTCCCCCCACCCTGTTCCTGCCAGAGTTTTGTTCTATGATGGGCCCTGCCCTGCTTTCTTCAACTTCCCTGAAAAGCCACCAACAACAGGCCGCTGAATGGAAGCACAGCAAAACACAGATACCAAACAACTTAAAATTAGATGTTTCCTGAAATTAGACTTCTCCAGTTTCTTGGATAACCTCAGCATGGGGAAGTCCTGACTATCCTCCTCAGGGACCTCTGTGCCCCTTCCTAACTGACCCCCCCCCCAGTGTGCCAAACCTTCTCTTTCATCTTGCTATTTTTCCCCCAGTCTAAGAGCCCCCAGATCGACTTCCCACCAGACCTTAATTTTCCTTAATACAAAACATTTCAACTTGTTTTTGTTTAAACTTCCCCCATCTAGGTAGAGTGACAGTGAGGAGTGGGGAGGGGTCTCAACTTCTACCACCAAAGAGGCCCCAGACCCATTCATGTGCTCCTTCTTAGATGTTGTTATCCTCTCCTCAGTTCAAACTGTTTCCTGCCATTTAAAATAATAGTTTTTAGGGGCGCCTGGGTGGCTCAGTCGGTTGAGCATCCAACTTCGGCTCAGGTCATGATCTCACGGTTTGTGAGTTTGAGCCCCGCATCGGGCTCTGTGCTGACAGCTCAGAGCCTGGAGCCTGCCTCGGATTCTGTGTCTCGCTCTCTCTCTGCCCCTCCCTGCTCATGGTCTGTCTCTCTCTCTCTCAAAAATAAATAAAACATTAAAAAAAATTTTCTTAAATAATGATTTTGAATGTTACATTAAAGTTTAATAAAGATTACATTAAAAAGTCTAATAAAACATATAAGAAAAGTTGTTCTCCCATTGAAATCCTGCTGAATGTGCTAAGAAATTTTTCAAAGAAATGGAGTTTTTTTCTTAACCCTAGATCAAATACCCATACTGTAAACTAGTGTATAAACTATTTCAAGTAATTATGAGCCCTCTTTGAGGATCATATCAGGATGTTCATTCTATGGTTTGGCAAATGATTGGTAAATATTAAGAAGCTATATCTCATATCAATAGCAAACGTCTGACATTGACATGAAACATTACAATGTAGAGCTGCTGTAAATTATGCTTGGCCTCAGGAAGCTGGATGAAGATACACTGAGCTTCAGACCTTGGTTCTAAGGAGGAGCTTTAGAAAAACATATATCATTTTAGATGACATTTAATTGCTTATTCTCCCCAATAGGTGTAAATTCCATTATAAAAATACATTTCCTTGGATCGGTGAGAGGGTTCGTTCCTGGCTATGCAGAGGGAAACCTTCCCTCACTACTTCCCTCCTGGTTGCTAATTGCATCCGTTTCCTTAAAATTTTCTTTTTTAATGTTTATTTATTCTTGAGAGAGAGAGAGAGAGAGAGAGAGACAGCAGGAGACGAGCAGGGGAGGGCAGAGAGAGAGAGAGGGAGACACAGATCTGAAGCAGGCTCCAGGCTCTGAGCTGCCAGCACAGAGCCTGACTTGGCCTTGAATCCACAAACCTGAACCACGAGATCCTGACCTGAGCCGAAGTCAGACACACGCTTAACTGACTGAGCCACCCAGGCGTCCCTGCATCTAGTATTTTCAAAGGGAGCTGGGAGTTTGTAGAGAAAATAACTTGAAGCATGTCTGGTGATCTGGTTGTGTGACAGGAAGAAAGTGAGTTGGGTAGAGGG